CTAATCTGCTTTAGGCGATTCGTTTAACTATTATACGTCATGTACGTTTTTTTTTGGGGGGGGGGTTAATGAAAGTGTTCCAAAACGCGACATTAATTTCTTGACGACCTAATATAAGCACTTTTAATAAAGGTCCTGTTTAGAAGGCTTGTAATCAATGTATAAAAATGATTACGTTTTTGAGATTTCAAAAATTAATATCAGGCGTTTAAAGTTTGTCCAAGATGGGGAGAATAAATATGTACTTATTTTATCAACATAGTCTAATCAGCCAGACTGTATACAAGGCCTATTTTTCGATGTGACGCCCCCTCCCCCAATATTATTTTTGAATATTAACTGTTAGAGATGAGTCTCATGGTTAACTGTACGTTTGGAAAGGAAATATAGAGTTAAAAATATCATATAAAGTCAGATGCTCATTATCTACTCAACTAGCCCCCCTCCAGTGGCTGCGGACTTATACTGCTAGACACCGGGTTTCGATACCTGTGGCGGGCAGAGCACAGATAGCCCTTTGTGTATCTTTGTGCTTAATAACAAACAACAACTATTCAACTAACCTGATTAGGGTCACTGTAATGAAACTGAATACTAATATTTGTATATGATTCAAACAGTGATGCATAATCTATTCAAAAACATTTGACATTTCAATTTCATTTTTGTGCTTTGCTTCCTATTAATGTATATTTTAATTTTTTTATTACTATTATACGTTGGATATCCAAATCGTATCTCAAAATGCCCTTAAGAGAAAACAATTAAATTTTAGTTAAGATCTTATATCTACGGGTTTGATGTAAATGTTTGTAATATGCCTCAATTTCTGTAATATCAAACTTTACTTTTACTAGAACAGAAAGTTAAACAATTATATCGATACCTGTTTTTTGAAAAAAAAAATCAAAGTTGGTTCATCATATACATATTTATTTTTTCTTTCTACATTATTATTTCCAAAGAAATCAAATACAAAATACAATAAACTCAAATTTCATTTAGTTTATCGTAAGCATGTTGTGTTTTAACTACAGTTAGTGTTAGTTTATAGTTAGCATGTTGTGTTCTAAGTACAGTTAGTGTTAGTTTATCGTTAGCATGTTGTGTTCTAAGTACAATTGGTGTTAGTTTATCGCTAGCGTGTTGTGTTCTAAGTACAGTTGATGTTAGTTTATCATTAACATGTTGTGTTCTAAGTACAGTTGGTGTTAGTTTATCGTTAGCATGTTGTGTTCTAAGTACAGTTGGTGTTAGTTTATCGCTAGCATGTTGTGTTCTAAGTACAGTTGATGTTAGTTTATCTTTAACTAGTTGTGTTCTAAGTACAGTTGGTGTTAGTTTATCGCTAGCGTGTTGTGTTCTAAGTACAGTTGATGTTAGTTTATCGTTAACTAGTTGTGTTCTAAGTACAGTTGGTGTTAGTTTATTAAAATATAATTATAATTCCGGTTTCTCATTATAACTTCGGTAAAACTCGAAATTGTTCTTAATTTCATGGAATATCGGGCAAGGCACAAGTGTGACGTAAATTAAAATTTCAAACAACAAAAGCAGCGTGAAATGTTTCTAAGTTTCTCCTTCCTGAGGTGACCATGTGGCTTTTATAAGCTCTACACGAATCATGCACGACATTATAAAACATGGAGATATCCAGAACCCGATAAATATTGTTTTTGTTTGTTGTTAAGCACAAAGCTACACAACGGGCTATCTGTGCTCTGCCCAACACCGTTGGTTGTAAGGAATGGGCTTACAGTTCGATACTTATCTATCAATATATATAACATGAATATTATGAATATTAAAATACTATGCAATGAGAACAACATTAATAGAAGAAAAATAAAAGAAGCATTAATTATTCATGAACTAAAACCCAATTTCAATCAAAACACAGGTGTCTCCCTACACGTTTTCTAAATTGGAACAAAATGCTCGCGCAGTATTTCACAAAATAGAGACAGTTACCTGATGATGGCCACACGAGTGGGCGAAACGTCTTAAAAATGTTAAATAAAAATAAACAATTCACTCAAAAGCTGTATCTCTGGACTTTTATTTAAAGTGTATAGTATACTTCATTTTCTTATAACAAGCTTCTACAGTAAGTAAGATTTGTTTTTAGAACAGGTTCGATCGCTAATGCGATCATTCTCAAGTACACAAGTGTTAACGGTAGAGAATGTTCTAGTATTTTAATTAACATTGAACAATCTAACAATGTATTTAAATTTTAGAATTGACAGTGGCTACTTATGCAAGAAAAACAAATCAGTAAGTAAACTCCAAACGAAACTATTAAATAGTTTTATAACTTAACGAATATCGTAATATCAAACAGTTCTATGTACTAGCCCTGAAGAAACCGCAAAAGCGAAACGTCGGTTAAAATATACGTTCTCTTATAATTATTTGGAGTGTAAAGGTCGTTTTTTTTTCAAACTTTATTATCAAAAAGAAAATGTGTTCATATATTTATTGTCAGCGATTTTCAAACTGTTCACAAGAGAAAACACCCATGAGGTTTTAAATCCTTATATAGTAACCTACGTTAATTTAGGTGTGTGAATAACGTTATGTCACTGTGCCTGATTTAATATTCGGTATTATGTAATGAACAAATAGTTCAGTGAGAAAGAAAAGAAATCTGAAATATAATTTTGTTTGTTTGAAGTTAAGACAAAGCAACATAATGGGTTATCTGTGCTCTGCCC